TTTGTAAACCATCTCTAGTATCTGGTTGTTACTCGTCGTCTTGTGTATGACAATCCCTTGTTTCTCTCTGGATTCCGATCAATTGTTTATACTGTAAGTCAGCACTCCCAGCCCACACTGCGAATTCAACAGCCTGTCTAAACGGTCATCAAGAATCGGAGAATTCAGGCGCCCTTGGCTCTAAATGCTCCTCGGAGGCAGTGAGGACACATACCAAGTCGAAAGCTGTACCTCCTCGAGAATTCAACCGGCACGTGATCATGTTCAACTTCGAAATCTGTTCAAGTTGGTCACTTGAAAACGCAAAAGCTGGTCCATTAAAAGGGAGGGACGATAACCAATCAATTCGCAGACATGATCAATCGTAATTCCTCGACCGGGTGCCTGGACCACTGTTTCTCAATTCTAGGCTGCCTAAAATTTTGGTCCATTTCGGGTTGAGATCCTTATATACAGTAGCGTAGATGACCGACTTCGGGACTAATTATTCCCGTCGGACGTACCAGAACTCTGAGGAGATTGTAGCACTGAGCGATTGGACACAGTTGAAATGGGCTTCACACACTATCATAATGTACAGACTACTTTGTTTACCAGGTTATCTCCTCGGAATCAATGTCCCATGGATTTCCCCTTGTGGCCTTGAAATTCCAGAACCTTCCACTACTTTTATCCTTTGTCGCCCCATCAATGCGCGACAGAATCCCTGCAACCGAGTCATCTATAGAGACAGGCGCCTGCGGGAGACCGTTGGAGACGGCCCCATGGTTCCCCATCTCGGTGGCGACCCAGCCGGGGTGGATCGCAAGCGATACGAGCGGCTTGTGCTCGTAGTCGAGAACCTTGACTACGAAATTGATTGCGGCCTTGGAGGAGCCGTATGCAGCGGCGGGCAGCGGGAAGTATCCCCCGATTGAGCCGACCACGCTGGAAATGACGGCGAAGATGGGGGCACCGGAGGGGGAGGCGAGGAGGAGGGTGTGCGCGGCTTGGAAGAGCACTACGGGGCCCAGCGTGTTTACATCCCAGTGGTCACGGAACTCGGAGATGGGTGTCGTTGCGAGTGGGCCGTAGTAGTTAGATATACCTTAGATACACGATTAATATTGATTGAACAAAGGTGTCCCAAGCGCTTACCTGCGTTTGCGATGATAACGTCGAGTTGCCCTGCAGTGTTCTGGATCTTGGCAACGGCCGCTTCGTTGTCGGCTTTGTCCCCAGACGTGAGTTTCACCGCATGCACGTTGGGGTGCTTCGCGGCGAGGTCCTTTAACGATTGGGCGGCGGGGTCACGCGCTCCAGCGAACACGATGGTGTTGGGACGGGCGGCGAGTATCGCTGCGAGAGCATAGCCAATTCCGCGGTTGGCGCCGGAAACTAGACAGGTCAAACAATCAATGTTGAAACGCCGATAGATGATGGCTTGAAAGCGAACTGAGGTAGACAATTTTTCCAGACATTTCGTTTGTGGAAGATGTAGTTGTGGGGGTCGATGTGAAGAAACTTGGAGATGCTTTCCACCTTGAGTGTCAATGGCTTTTATATTTTCTCAACCCAGAATGCCGGCCGCACGGGGCCCGGTCTCTTCAAATTGATCTGTAATGCTCAGTCAGACTCGAATTATAAAGCATTTCGAACATTTGATCCCATATATCGTCCTGTTGTCAGCTGCGATAGATATCAAGGCACGAATCCATGACTCTTGCCCCATCGAAGACCCCACCGTTGAGGTTAATCATCAGAGGAAAGTTCGCGAGTCTGCTAGCGGGTGACTACCGTAACCACATCAGGACTAGAGTAAATTTAGGCACATAGTCAGCCGGCCCAAATTTAATGAGTTTGGAACCCCAAGTTGGGCAGCGAGAACACGGCAGCATCGCGAACGCGGCCAACGACGGGCTCGGATGATTCCACTGGCCTTACTTAGTAAGGCAAAGGCCGGTGCATATCGGCGTTTTCCATTAATCAGGTAGAGAAAACAGCGAACCGTGGGCGCATAAGCCCGGAATTCGATGTCACTGTGCCAACGGAAAGATGTTTTCTGACCGTGCCCATGAGAGAAAAATATGTTTTCAGAAGGTGGGAGTACCTGGGAAGGTTTGAAAACGGGCGAGATCGCAAAGCCAACTTTACTGACGAATAAAGACCGATAGATAAAGACCGACCGTTCGAGAGCGAGGCCCTGGAGATATAACACGATACTTATATCTTGGACCGTGTTCGAAGCCGGTAGGAATTGAATCTTCTACTTGCGTGTCGCGTTGATGGATCTTCGAAGTGTTTGCAGGCACATCGGTTGCGCACGATAACATCGCGGTTACAGCTGTTTCCAAATATATTGGCAGTACGTCAATTTTTGTGTGCCCATCTTGTTTGATGGCATGCTAAGTTACTACATACTTTGGGAACTCGTGGCGGCGGTGGCGGAACGCTAATCGGGAGGAGAGCGGTACATACGTATGGAGGAAGCGGGGAAGTAAGTGGGAGCGCGAGGAGGCGAAAGAAGGACGGGGAGAGAGGAAAAGAAGGAGGAAGGGAGGGGAAGACCGTGACGAAAACGAGAAACGAGATCTGGAGGGGGGGGAGGACGGAAGGACGGAAAGCCGGAACGGCGGCGGCGGGCAGGGGCGAGGGGGCGAAGGACCGGTGCGTATGGAGGAAGCAGGGAAGTAAGGCGAGAACGGGTGGGGAGGGGCTCCGGAAGGGGTGGGAAGAGTAGAGAAAGACGAAAGAAGGAGGGAAGAAGGGAGAGAGAGGGAGGGAACGAAAATGAAAGAAGGATCTCCGAGCCTATTATAATCGCGAGGGAACAAGGGATGGATGGATGGCGGCGGCGGTGGGGAAGCCGGAAAGGCGACGGCGGGCAGGGGCGAGGGGGCGAGGGACCAATACGTGTGGAAGAAGCGGTGAGAGGGAGGCGAAGGGGAACGGCGGGCGGCGGAGCATGCGGGGAAGGCGAGGAGATTTGGTGCGGGGGTGCGGGGGACAATCGGAGGCAGGGGCCCAACATCAAGATCGAACGCGGGAAAGGGATAGAGAATCGGAGGCGCGGATGCGGGGACGGAGGGATCACGGGCGCGGGGAATCGAGGGGATGGATGATATATACATCGCGCTCGTGGACGGATGAAGGGAAACAAGGTGAGGAAGGGGAAAGGGGAGAAGGAACATGAAGGAAGGGGAGCGAGGGAACGAGGGATGGATGAACGCGGCGGCGGTGGCGGCGGGGGTGCAGGGATCGAGGGAGGAGGGGTGGAGGAGGGAGGAGGGAGGAGGGAGGAGGAATGAGGAATGAGGCGGAAACCGTGAAGGGACGGGGGAGGGGAGCGCAGACGTGAGGGAGTAGGACGACGCTGACGCGCACGCAATCCGGCGCGAAACTCTGGGGAGGTGGGCGACGGGAACGGGACCGGTATGGGTGCAGGATGTGGATGGGGTGCGTGCGTCGCACGACGAGCACGGGCAAGATTGGACGCCGGAGGAAGAGCGGGCAGGGGCGAACGGAGAGCGGGATCGGATGCGGAGGACGGAGGGGAGGAGGGGGCCGGGGAGTAGGATGTGGGAAATTGGAGGAAGACGGGGAGGCGGGGATTAGGGAATGTATATGAACCGGGGGAGAGGACGACGCGGGACTCGGACTCGGATGCGCGGGCGGAATCGACGGTCGGGGGAGGAGGGAAGGGGGGATGTTGATGTGTAGAGATGAGAGGGAGGGGACGGATGGATGGACCGCGAGGGACGAGGGAGGGAGGGGTTACATAGTTGCGATTGGTACGGGACGTGGGTAGAGAAGAAAAGAGGAGAAAACGCGCGTTGAGGTCTCCCCGTGTTCGACCCCTCAAACGCGAGGCGAAAAACAAGATGTAGGGTAGGGTAGAGGGAAGGGGGAGAGTGTAAAAAGCAAGAAAGAGCAGAGCAAAATACACAAAGAGGAAGAAAGAATGAAAAGAAAAAAAGAGCACGCACGACGGATTCAGTAATCCCCTGTTTGCTCTCCGTGTTGATCAGCATCGCGGAGTTTTCTTGGTGGAGCAGTGCCTGTTTTTGGGGGTTAGCGGGGGTAGGTAGAGGTGGGAGGGGAGAATGAGGGGGAAGGAGGTAGGATCGATACGCTAGCGGGGAACAGGGACGGGAAGGGAACAGCGCGCCCCACTAGTACTCCCTCAAAGCGCCGCGCCGGGGTTGCGTCGACAAGCGCGTCCGCCACCACGTGAGGCGAGGCTGACAGGAGTCGGCTCGCCCGATCGCTCATACAGACGAAGGAGGCACGCGTGGGTGCCCGGTGCTGTGTGTCAGAGAACAACAGCGGCGCGTCAGCCACCCAGTGAAAGCCGTGCACCCCGCGGATCTAGACGCAGCCAGCGCGCCCACAACTGTGCGGACTCGGAGCGCGGGGAGGGTGGTTTGGGCGTCAGTTAGCCACCTCGCACGCCCCCTTTGCGTAGACGAGACGCCAGCCAGCCCGCCAACTTGGGCGAAAAAGAAGCGCGCACGCAAAACCGCACAAGGCCGTAGGCGTGGAGATACCGAGCAACTCTGCCGCGAGTGGGCCGCCGTTTCCGCGGAGGGAGAGACGGCGCGTCAGCCACTCGAGCGATGCGTGCCCGGACGCGGTCCAGGACGCCCGTTATCATGAGATTGAATCCGCCGATACGACGCGGTAGGTAGCGAGGAAAGAGAGTACTCACGGGAACTTGACGACGGCGGCGCGGCCGGGGTGGAGGACGGGGTGCGCGGTGTGCTCGTCGGTGGGGTCCGTCGAGGGCGCGGGGGAGAAGGACGCCGAGCCGGATAGGGCGGCGGCGTGCGACGGGGAGCGCCCCGGCGACGGGCCACGCGAGCGGGGGGAGCTTATCGGGAGCATGTAGTTGTTGGAGGAAAGAGGAGTCGGATCGGCGTTGTTCGGCACACCTCCTGTCCGCCAACCACTACCTCCGCGATTACATGTGACTCGAAGTTCAAGAATTCAAGCTGGAAGCTCCTTCACCGAAAGCCTGTTATGGCCTGGTGGTGTAGCGGTAACATGCTCCTTCCATATGTTGTAAAGGTTGTTTAGTATAAGGGGGATACCCTCGTTCGAATCGAGGCCAGGTCATGTCTTACCTTTTATTGAGTATCACAACTCCTGTCCTTAGACTGGACTCCGGACTCTGGCATTGAGGGAAGAAGGCCCAGTGGTGTACTGGTAACACATCCTCTTGACTTGGAATGACATTGTCGGTCAGAGGAAGCACCCTGTTCAACTCAGGGCTGGGCCATACACATTCTATCTGGATTTTTTTTTCTCTTTTCTTGGTGCTCGAAATAAATATCCCTCTTAGCACTCAGTGAACAATGTAGAGAAAGGCCTAGTAGTGTACTGGTAACACATCCTTGTCTAATGAAAAATTCCCATCTTAGTGGAGGAAGCACCCTGTTCAATTCGGGGCTGGGCCATAGTGAAATTCAGTACTGCATTTTTTAATTTCTTTTTGGGTGCTCGAAAATAGATATTCAAACCCGATCTCAACCTCAGAGTAACAATGAAGAGACAGGAGAAAATAGGGAGGCCCAGTGGTGTACTGGTAACACATCCTCTTGATTTATTGTTGTTCAGAAAGTCCTTCAGAGGAAGCACCCTGTTCAATTTGGGGCTGGGCCATATGCATTCTATCTGGAATTTTTTTCTCTTTTCTTGGTGCTCGAAATAAACATCCCTCTCAGATCCCAGTGAAGAATATAGAGAAGGGCCCAGTGGTGTAGTGGTAACGCATCCTCTTCATTTAGTGCACTCCCACAAGTCAGAGGAAGTGCCTTGTTCAATTTGGGGCTGGGCCATATCTGTTCTTGAATGCTTTTTTTTTTCGTCACACAATTTCTGTAGTGCTCTATCCATTGACTCGACCTCGGACTCTGGAGTTATGGAGAAAGGCCCAATGGTGTACTAGTAACACATCCTCTTCATTTGCAGTAAATCTGTGAGCTTGGAGGATGCACCCTGTTCAATTCGGGGCTGGGCCATGGCCCTGAAATCAGCCAGACTCTTTTTTCCTTAAGTACACATCACACAACTTCTGTACTTTATTCTCATGAGATAGACTCGACCTCGGACTCTGGAGTTGTGGAGGAAGGCCCAGTGGTGTATTGGTAACACATTCTCTTTATCTGCATGGCAAAAGCACAAGTCAGAGGAAGCACCCTGTTTGATTCGGGGCTGGGCCATGTGTGTTATCAAATGGGTTTTTTTTTGTCACACAATTTCTGTAGTGCTCTATTCATTGGCTCAACCTCAGAATCTGTAGTTGTCAAAGAGGGCCCAGTACTGTAGTGGTAACACATCCTATTCATTTGAAGCATCAGGGCTGTGTTCAGAGGAAGTCCCTTGTTTGATTCGTGATGTGATGTGATGTGATGTATTTCTATTTTACGCTGTAACTGGCCATGTGTGGCTAAGCAGCAGTACCTACAATAGAGTAGAGGGAGAGGTAAGGTAGCTAGGTGGGGCATAATGGAACCTATTTAGACGCAAGCACAAAAAGAAGAAATAAAGTATCGAAAGGGGAAAGGGTGGTCAGAGGCGGGACATAAACATGCGAATAAGGTACAGTGAGGGAGCTTTCGGGACACGGTGTGGGCGGGATGGGTCTGGGGAGGTGAACGAGAAAATAAGAATCAAATGGAAAAGATTAAGGAGCAGGATTCAGGTATGGTAGGGGAAATGAAGAGGACTTGTCCAACGACAGGTGAAGCTCGCGTTGACGCGCGACAAGGGAGACAGCCAGCTCTTTACGCTTTGGGCACAAATATGCGTCGGACCTATGCTTTCCGGGGCAGTTCAAGCACTGAACGGGACCACTACAAGGCGATAGGTGGTCGGCAGAAAGTGGTTTAGCGCATACACCGCAGCACGGGTTCTTGACGTTACAGCGGGCTTTGGTGTGGCCATATTTGTGACAACCCCAGCACTGGGAAACACGCAGGTGTGGGAAGCCGCGAGAGACAGTCGGGCTAGAAGAGCAGAGAAGGATACGTCCACGGGATAGGGCGAGGTCGACTCGATCGCGGGACTCGAGCAAGAAGTAAACCGAGCCTGCAACCTTGGGTTTGCCACCGCCCGCTACGATCGCAGAGATCCGCGACTCGGATGGCGGACGGTTAACCCAAGTTGGCGTACCAGTGACCTTCCCAAGGTCCGGGTTCCTCAGCTCAAACTCGCGCTTCAGCTCCTTCATATCACCAACATCCCTGAAAAGGATCCCATCGACTTGAAGATGCGAATGGACGGCAACGGGAGCGATGCGCCCGCCGGGGAAAATGCCCAGAGACCATCGAGGCCACTCCTTTGCAAGCAAAGCGGTTTCCGCAGGGGTGGAAGGGACTATGAAGATGCTAGAAGCGTTCTGTTTCTGCGCATATAACAGCAGTGGAAGGGACATAGACTGGAGGTGTTTATTGACGGAGGTGACGATCTCGGGATAGGACGCATGAAAGATGGGCGGGGTCTCTCCATCGAAGCGGACAAGGATACGTTCCTCACTGGGTGACGGGAGGGGGGGCGGCTTGGGTTTGGGAGCAGTAGGACGAGCGGGTGGAGCCGAGGCGGCGGCAACGGCGGCATATGACAAGATTTGCTGAGTTTTCGACTTCTCGAGCTCCTTAGCAAGCGAGGTGATAGCCTTGTGTTGCGCCTCGGATCTCTCGGAAAGCTGCTTCAAAGCCGGCGATACAGATTGGAGAAGGAGGGCGCTGAAGGAGGAGGTGGTCTCGGACTCACGGACGATCGTCAGATGGTTCGCAAGCCTCTCCTGAATTGCCTTTAGAACCTTCCAGAACTCCTGACTGATAGTCTTATTGAGTTGGGTCCACTGCAAGACATCGCCGAAGACCTCCGCCAATGCATCGAATGAGTCGGCGTCATCAATGCGCTCCGTCGATCGGATGATGAATTCCTTCTTAATCTTCGTCGCGGACGCCTGCTGCTGGCGTACTTCCGCTGAGCGTTCAGTGTGCGCCTTGGGAGCGGGTGCAGATGACAGAGAAGGAGGATCGAGAGAGGCAGGCGTAGGAGGCGGGGACAGAAAGGTCGACGCGTCGGTGGCGTTTGATGACGTGGTGGTCACGGCGGCGGCGGCGGCGGCTTCGGAGATGATGCTAGTGGTGCTGTTGGCCTTACGTGCCGCAGAGCGAGTCGTTGGCAGGTCGGTGGAGATGGCATCGAGGAACTTAAGCTTGTTCTTAGGTGACATGGTGGTGGACTATGTTTGATTCGGGCTGGGCTGTAGATACTTGTGTCTGAATTTTTTTCCATTACATATCATACAACTCCTGTACTACACTTGACCTCGGACTCTGAGATTGAGGGAAGCAGCCCAGTGGTGTACTGGTAACACATCCTCTTTAATTATTGGACTATGAACCAAGTGTTCGGAGGAAGCACCCTGTTCGATTCGGGGCTGGGCCATGACAAAAAATAGATGCAACTTTTTCCTTTTCTTATATCTTCTCCTGCGTCTCTCTTTTCTTTCTCTGCACATTTTCCTCTGAGTCGATTCTTTCCCCATCTACCCTCGAATCGACATGAATTAAACAGAGTAAAAATTGTTGGAACCTGTACACTATGTGAGTATGTAGAACCTCACACGGACGTATTGGTACGCGAGTATATTCACCTGTACACTATGTGAGTATGTAGAACTGTACTAAGGTGAGCTATGAGTCTATAATCTGTGCTGAATCGACTTACCCTCACACGGACGTATTGGTACGCGAGTGAGGGCAAGCGACGCGCGGCATCACGGTATAACTAACTACGTGATGTCACACAGTCCGAATCGCCGTCCAACACACCCCCTCGATGAGTACTGTGAATATCACCCCCTCACGCTAGAACCCCGAGTGAAGTCCGGTGGCGGACAAAGTCCAGCGCCGGTAAAGCCTTCGTTAGGGTGTCCGCGACGTTGTCGTGGGTATTGACTCTTGAGAGGGCGACCTTGAGTTTTTCGACGCAATCCCGGATATGGTGATAGCGGACATCAATGTGTTTGGCGCGGGAATGGAAAGACTGGTCGTTCGCGAGAACCATCGAGCCGTTGTTGTCGCAGAGGATGGGGGAGGGATTAGGTATGGGAATATTCATACCGCGGAGTAAGGATCGCATCCAGCACGCCTCCTTCGCGGCTTCAGATGCGGCGATGTACTCTGCCTCGGTCGATGAGACAGTGACGACCTTCATTTTCCGGGACGCCCACGACACAGAACCAGACCCGAGAGAGAAGCTGTAACCCATGACAGATTTCCGGCCGTCTAGCTCGTTCGCGAAGTCGGCGTCAGTATAGCCGCTGAGAGAGATTGGCGCGTCGCCACCAAGGACCAGTTTGTAATCTCGGGTCCCCTTGAGGTAGCGGACGACTCGGATAGCAGCTCGCCAATGAACGGCACGGTAACAGTCGAGGAAGCACGAGAGTTTACCGACGGCGAAGGAGATGTCGGGGCGGGTACCAATTGATAGGTACATGAGACAACCGACCAGGGACCGGTACGGAGTGTGTGCTAGGCGTTCAGCGTCTTCGCGGGTTAGGATCTCGGAGGGGTCGGGGGATTGTAACTGGGTTTTAGCTTCCATGGGCGTCGAGGCGGGATAGGCGTCGGACTGGTGGAACTGCGAGATGATACGGTCAATCAGCGCAGTCTGGGAAAGTGAGATGGTGCGTCGCTCGGGGTCGCGGACGATGCCGATGCCTAGGCAATATTTCACCTCGCCCAAGTCCGAGATCGTCCATTTAGAACGGAGCTGTGCTTTGAACGACTCATTCCCGATCGCTTTACTCGCCGCAAGTAGCATGTCATCGACGTGCACCGCGACGAGGTTCGTGACCTCATCCACAACGCGAGCGTATACGCACCACTCGCATCGGACCCGTCTGAAACCCCAGCTGAGCATTGCCGCATGCATGTGTTTGTTCCAAGCACGTCCCGCCTGCTTCAAACCGTAGAGCGATTTCACAATCTGCCACAACCACTTCTCCTTCCCCGGCTCCTCGTAATGTTTTGGCTGACGCGAATACTGGTATTCATCGGGTGGCAGATCGGCGTTGAGGAACGCAGTCTTGACGTCGATCTGCTGGATGTCCCAGCCGCGAGCAGCTGCTATGTGAAGGATAGCGCGGAAGGACTCGAGGCGAGCGGTGGGTGAAGTTGTGTGAGTGTAGTCACGGCCGTAGATCTGTCTGCATCCGAGAATACAATACCGGACCTTGTTCCGGGCAACGACGCCGAGCATATCGTGCTTGCGTACGTATACCGGCTTCAAGTCCAGGATGGTTTTGTTTCGCGGGACAGCCTCCGGTGGAACGAGGTGGTATACGCCCATCTCCCTCAAGGATTTCAGCTCGTCAAGTGTCCCTTCAATCCATTTCTCCCGATCTGGGGCCGCCATGGCCTCGGCATAAGTCCGAGGGTCGTCAGGGAACTCGACATCAATGGGGGCTTCGGAAAGGTACGCGTTGAGCTCGCGCATTATCCGTTGCTCCTCGCCGTCATCGTCCTCCGGGGTTTCGGCAGCCGTGCGTTCGAAGTCCATGACGATGTCAAGATCTTCGTCTTCGCTCATTTCGTCTGCGGCGTGAACTGCCGAGCCGTCAAAATGGCGGGCGGGAACGCGGGCGCGACCTGATCGACGGGGCGGCGGAGGCGTGATCGGCACGGGTGGAGGCGGAGGAGGAGGAGGAGGAGGAGGAAGGGTGGTGTGTGTGTCTGTGTCAGGGGAGGGTGAGGTGTGCATGGTGGGGTCGGGCGAGCTTTGGTCGTCAGGTACGCCAGCGGTAGGATCGAATGTACCGGGGTCCTTCAAGCGCTTTGCAAGCCGGTCTGGGTTATAGCGCACCTTCTCAATTTGTCCACTCTCAATGAATCGGACGTTGTACGAGTTGTAAACCTTCCCCGATGAGCGCTCCCAGACGCGGTACGCCTTGGACTGCGGTGCGTACCCGATGAGGACGCACTCAATCGATCGCTCGTAGACCTTGGGGTTGTGTTTGTTCTCAATGAGAACGAATGCGCGACATCCGATCTCACGAAGATGGGAGATGTTCGGCTTGGACAGCTCGAAACATTCGTGTGGAGTACGTCCGTTCTGAGAGCGAGAAGGTGTTCTAGTGTGCAAGTAAGCCGCTGTTACACAGAACTCATCCCAAAGATACTCGGGGGCGTTGCACGACAGGCGCATGGCGCGGCCCTTGCCGTGAACGACGCCGTGGAAACGCTCGCACTTCCCATTCATCTTGGATACGTGCGCAGGCGTGTACACGATCTCCGTTCCGCGTTCCGCACACCATGTCTCGAATTCAGTGGACTTCAGTTCCCCATTGTCAACGACGAAACGTCCCACGCGTTCGCCTGTTCGGGCTTCCATGACAAGGGTCCACGCACGGAGGAATGGGAAAGCGAAGGATTTATTAGGGATGGGGATTGACCAGCCGCGGGTGGTGCAATCGTCTACAATATCGAGCGTATAATGATTTCCACTTCGCGACCTGACATGGATCTTCCCGCTCAAGTCCACGTGAACCTGTTTCAAACGCCGCGTCGACTTCTCACCAGCTCGAAGTTTTGGAACGTTGGTGCGTCCCTGTTTACCGCGAATACAAGCGTCACAAGCGGGAACATCGGAAGACGTGTCGAGGACCATACCATCCACAAGATTATTTTGGTACATATCGACGATGGCTTGGGGATGCGCATGTCCGAGACAGAGGTGGTAGCTGTGTAAGCTTCGAGCAGGGGTGACAGAAGTGGTGGAAGTGGAAGTGGACGCAGACGCGGCGGTCGGTGGGGCATCGCAGTGGAGCTGATAAAGGTGACGGGTTGGATGTACGGAGCCTTCGCACACAGTGGCGCCAGTGGCGTCCGTGATCCTCGCACTGGTCTCATCGAAGTGGAAGGTATATTTGAGGGCTTGGCATAACCGGAGCACGGAGAGGAGGCGAATCGCAGCCTGCGGGACGTACAGGACGTTAACGAGAGTGAATGTGTTCCGTACTACGGTGCCGACGCCGGTCGCGTTGATGGAGCTGCCCTGGAACCCAGCAATAGCACGCGGCGCGATGGATGTGAACGTCACGAAGTCGCTGCAATGTGGAGTGATGTGTACATTGGCGCCCGTGTCGGCAAAAAGAGGGTCAAGGAGAGGGTCGGAGATGGTAGCCTTGGCCGCGACCTCGTTCCAGTTCACGGATACAGTAGGGATCTCATGTGCCATCATGGCTTCGAACGCGTATTCTGCATCCACCCCCTCAGGCAGGACGTCGGTCTCAAGATTGATGAAGTTCGCGACAGGGGGAGCAGCGGCGTTGGCAACGGGGGGAGGAATGGGTGCGGGCGCAAGCATGAAATCTGTCCCATCTATGGTGACGTACGCTCGGCCGTCCGTCGTCTTGCGGAATTTCGGGTGGGCCTTGTCTTTGTCCTTGCCGCTGGTGTAGGAAGGGTCTCGACCGATGCCGATCGTGCAGCCGTCCGCGCGTGCTTTCGCCTGTGCCTCGCGAATTTGCTTGCCCGCCATACCACCCCCTGGATGCACACAATAGGGCCACGTGTGTGTGTCGGGCTTCAAGCATCCCGACGTCGTGCACTTCGTCGGGGGTTGTGAAGACGCCGCAAAGGCGTTGTGCGGGGCAAGGGATGGTGACTCGTCGTATGCCTGGTGGATAGCCATTTGATCGGAGATGACGCGGAGGTTCAAGTGTGGCTGTCCGAGCAGTGACTTGACAAAAACGGGGTGGGTGGAAAGCGCGGAGATCATCGCGGCGGCTTGGAATGAGTCCGGGTTGATGTCGCCCGCAGCCCAGATGGTGTTGTTGAGGTCGTTGATAGCAGTAGTCGTCGCAGCCCACGACTTCGGATCAGACCCGTACTTCATCCCGAAAAGTTTGCGCATTGCCTTGATCTGGCCGACGGGACCGCGTTTCTCGTGGCGCTGTTTCAGCGTCTCCCACACCTCCCTCGCGGTCGTGCAGTGCTCGATGTGAGTGCGTTCGGTCCGAGTGCATACAGATGCGAGGTAGGCCGACACGACGCGGTTGCTGTCAATCCAGGCGCGATGATGTGCTGGGTACATGAAGAAGGAAGGCGGCGTCTCCCCCTCGTCGATGAAACGCACGGCACCCGGCTCAAGACCCAAATCCTCCCGGACTTTCGCACCCCATGCGATCCAGTTGTCAGCTTCAAGCGAGAGCCTGTCCTCCTCTGTCCACTTGGTGTTGTTCAGGCGGAAAGAGCGAGGGACTGGGCCTATGTCGGCGACGTAGCCTGACACAGAGCTGTACTCCGGGTTACCAGAGCGAGGTTGGAGGAAGGGGCGGTAGGGGCGTGGATCGCGTGGAGGGGAGCCGTTCGATGAGGCCGGCGGTGTGTGAAAGTGTGCGCGCGGCTGCGGCTGGTGGGAACGGTGTACCTGCGTCGGGA